AATTCATGTGAATATGACTGAAAAATTTCATTTTTTCTGAAAAGGTGGTGTCTATTTACTTGTGACCACGCTGTGTATATTGTTAAAAACACATCTTAGAATGGCCGTAATTCTTTTCAATTCTCCCACAAAGATATTGGAAGAATGTATTTTTGTTTAACGCGTTAAAACTCGTTTTTTTTCTACTAGTTTTTAATGTTTTTCTTGAATAATTCAACATTGAATAATATCATATTTGTGAAACTTTAAACAGACCGAAGATTGAAACTTATATTTGGAATAACGTGATTTTATTCGCCGAAACTTACAGAGCCTGTAGGAGCCCCCTCCCCAGTGGCGCAGCGGTATGTCTACGGACTTACAACGCTAGAAACCGGGTTTCGATACCCGTGGTGGGCAGAGCACAGATAGCCCATTGTTTTAGCTTTGTACATAAATTCAAACAAACAAACCTGTAGGAGGGGTTATAAGCATCCACCATCCCATCGTCATTAAATCGACAAACATTTTACAAATCCATAAAACATGAAGAGCATGACATGGTTACGAAATAAGTAATTATGGTTATGTTGTATGAGTATTGTACGGCTCTATTAAAGGGCGAACATTTTTTAAGCCAATGAGTATTGTACGACTCTAAAAAAGGGCGAACATTTTTTAAGCCAAATTTTTACTTATTTTTTTTTAATTACAGTCAATGATTTATAGTAAGAACTTTCATTGCGTTTGGATTTTCCTTTTCGTGGTTGAGTCTTTTTCACGTGCAGAGGAAGACATTACCGTACGGAAAAAACGACGAATAATAAAATCGGCTATTTCGAACGAAGGAACTAAAATTACTGTTGATAGCGTAGTTGCAGTGGCGTCAGTCGCCTATTTTCTTCGGGAAATTGGATACGTGTCCCATGAAGGAGTATTTTCACGACACCAAAGTTCTTGAATTTGTTGTTAAACTATTCTGCATGAACATGAACGATTGGAAGTTGCATTTTCAAAACTGTCACAGATTCCTCATAAATATATATCCAAAAAATGTAAATTACAAAAACATGAGTAATTATGTCAATTATTCTTTTTTTGTGTGTGTGTGTACATTTTTATATAATGACGTCAATGTACAGTGGAGGGCGTGTGGAAAAGTTAAGATGTGTGGTCTAAGATTGACCTTGACGTCCACCACCAAAGATTTTTTCAGTATAAATTGTGATGTCAGCTAATAGTGTATAATCATGGTCATCAGATAAATCACGGTCGACGTATAGGACAGTGGTCCACAATTATTTTCCACACCAGGCTACTTTAGACGAGTGGTTCTCAAAGTGTGGTCCGCGGGTTGGTCCAAAATGCAAGTCACATCAAAAGCGAGGCCATTCATTCTAATAACTGTGAAGAGTTTTTTGTGTTTTTTCGGAGACAAGCGAAAGCGGGTGGGGTAAGTAGGACCGGTAGGTGATTTCCAAGGTCTTTTGGTGCGCCGAAGTCATTCGAGAACCAAAAAGTTTGAGAACCATTGCTTTAAATGATAGCAATAAACCCGAGAACCAATAGTTTGAGAACCATTGATTTAGATGAAGGCAATAAACCCGAGGACCAATAGAGTTTGAGAACCATTGCTTTAGATGAAGGCAATAAACCCGAGGACCAATAGAGTTTGAGAACCATTGCTTTAAATGATGGCAATAAACCCGAGAACCAATAGAGTTTTCCTTACTTTCTTAATATCTATTGTGGTCCACTGATTAGGAAGTAGTTGAAAGGGCGGGCATCACGGGGCCTGAAACATTGTTCTTGTTAAGTGTGGTGATCCCTCAGTAGTACTCCGAAAAGATGAAAATTATGCCATGAACTTGTGTCAGAACATGAAAAGATTGATTAGTCATTTAAAAAATTTGAAATGTATTCAGTTCATGTGATTATTGTTTTTTTACTACGACTTTGACAATTCATGCAACCCAAAGGCAAAGTGTTAAATTTTAACATTTTTATTATGAGACGTCTACCTTAAAAATTCTGTCATCTTATTTGCGTCGTTTAATTTAGTTTTTTGGATTTATTTGTTTTCAAAGTATTTGGCGAAGAAAGCAACAAGGTAAGTTTAGGTAAACACTCTAAACAGTCAACAAAAGTAATCTACTGTTTGCGCCAAAGTGTCTGTTGGAAATCAGTTGATAGATGAAAATACAAGTTTTACTGAAACTTTCCATGCATCTTTTGTTAGTTTAGCATCCCCAGTCATGTACTTTAGGACTGATAAATGGTTCTGTCTTTATGTAACTTTCATATTAAAATAGTCTTGAATATTCCAGGTGTAATAATTAATTTCCTCAACAGATGGCACTACTGACTTAAATAAGTAGTACTATGCTCATATTAAATGTGCAGGTATGTTCTTCGAAATAAATTATCGTATCCTTATTGAATATTATTTACAACAAGCTATGATGTTTTGCAAAATTCCTACAAACTAAAATACAGTGATAGTAATAAAACATATTTCACAATCCACAACCTCAAAGTAAAGGTTTTGCAAAATACATTAGGTGTATACATGTTTATAGTTTTTTGGACTAAAAATTGTCAAAAAGCCGTTTATGATATTAAGATATTCAAATTCAAGTCTCGGTAACGTGCACGCAAGCACTGAGGTTTACGGTGCTCGAGGACATGCAAGTCTTTCCTTTCCTAATGATCTCATCATTGTTAAAAACTGCCCGCGGGAAGGTCGCGGACTAGCGTCCATGTTTCGTTTGGTCTCAATGCAGTTGGTTGATCACAAACCAAGCACAGCCTGACGTAACGCAAGCTTATTTAATAATAGGTGTATGTAGGTGGCATTGGCCCTTTTTATTTTTGAAATAGAGGAATAAAACGTTTCCAAGGTTAGCCAAAATGGTATAAAATCGGTCGTGATTATATAAGTTAACGCAGACAGGAAGCCATAATGTGTAGTTTTCCAAAGAACAATATATCAAGGCATGGATATGATTAACATGATGAATGATTACATTAACCATAACAACCATATTCATGGTTGTTTTTTTTTTTGCAATTTCCCTGGAGATAGGAGGAAAATCAGAGGTTAAGCAGTGACAACAAAAAATTGGTTTTTATTAGTCATAACTTGGCGAACCCGAGTTAGAGTAATCGCCCTGGTGTGTCTGTGTGTTTTATTCTAGCTAACCAAGTAGAAATAAAAACAATTAAGCTAGGCCTAACATTAGTTCAAGATATTAAAGTAGTCTCTCTTGATTTTTTGTGTTTATTTAACTCAGGACTCTGAAGTCGAGTAAAAAACACCTTATACTATTTCACATTTACTTATGAAAAAAATAATAATATAAATATTTATGTGGAACAGGATTCCTTGTATTCATTTCCACAATGCGTGGATTATAAGGTCACAAAATAAAGGTTTTACCTTTCTATTCCTTTTTCGAGGTATAATTTAGCTAAAAGCTAGAACTTTAATAAGGACACCCGCAAATGGTAATTACCCCTTTTACATTAAGTATAAAAATAATGTCAGAATTGTGCGCACAACAATGAGGCCTAATTCCTAATTTTAAAATAGAGTAGACCTATTTAACACGGTACTACGATTGTAATAATGATAATGGTATTGAGGTAAACTCAATAAAAGTAGCCATGAGAAAACATAATAACGTACGTGGGTAGTTGAGAACTGTAGATTTATAACTTGTGCGTGATTAAAAAATGTATATTGTTGTAAATCATACGGGTAGATTTTTTTTTGTTTATTTTTCTTTATATTCATTCCAGTAAATACATGTATATATTTAGTTGTTTTTTTTGTTTTTTTTTTTTGCTTTTCAGGCATTGTATAATGTGTCCACAGCACGGGCTGTCGTCACCCCTGATCATCTCCTGGAGTCTCTTCGAAATGCACTTTTACGTAAAGGAATCGTGTGTAAACAGAAAGAGTAAGTTCTATGTTCTAAAGTTCCCTCCCCTAGATTTTACATATTATTGCTTTGTTGAGTGTAAACAGAAAGAGCAAGTTCTATATTCTATAAGTTCCTCCCCTCCCCACATTTTTCATATTATGCTTTGTTGAACAGGAATAAGAATGACAATAAACGAATTTTAACTGTCGTAATCAACTAGCTTTTCGCTCATGCTGAAAAATCCTGACTGAGAAATAGTTAATAAGCGGTAATGAAATCGAATTTAAGTTATAAATTACTTTGATTATTATTATTTTTGAAAATTGTGATGTCCAGCAACAGAAAATGATCATTCAATAAAATTGCCGTACAGAAAGCCACATAAAACATGAAAAAACTTTTCACCTCATTAGCGATTGAATACCTGATAGGAAATACCACAGTTTGAGTCAGTATATCTGTTTCTAGCGTGATTCTTGCATGACTTAAGCTAAATTACTAGTGTTCACTCGCCTTGATAACCAAGTCTTCTGTGTGAGACGTGTGGAACATGTTGGCGTCTGGAAGGTTTTTGCACATTCTTGGAAAAACTTGGCTGTCTGATGTCTTGCATACAATTCTCAAGGACGAAAGAGAAATAGAATTGCTTACAGTGAAGGAAAGCTGTAAGGAAAAAAAAATACCAAAAGGGATTGTTTGGTGACTTAGCAGAATCTACGCTGTAATAGGAGTACATCGGCCGTTGGCTTCCAAGTACGTTAAAGGAGGCTTAATCTTTGAATACTTTAAAACTTACTTCTTTACTGAATATAAACGTTTATTTAAGAAAGGGAATCAGTCGTGTAAAGTAACTTGTTCTTTTAGATTCTGTAATCTGAGCGAAATAATTGTGGTTCGAGAAACTACCATATCACAACTTTTTGTTATTTGTATAGTAAATATTTGTTTCTTGTATTGAATCATTGAATACATCCCCCTACTAGGTTATCTATAATGGATTTTACCTACGTAAAAACCTACTTAGGTGCGAATATACGATATTTACAAAGTCGCCAGGTAACTACTTTGATATTTCGTGGTTCAACAGAGCGAAGTAATTATGGTCTGAAGTTTTCATTACTCTTTTATACCCAAATTACACGCTAAAGTGGTGTTAACTAGGTAGAAATGTGAGGAAAAGTTTAATTATGAATGTGTCTTACGCGTGTTTATGTGTCTAGAAAAGCTAGAATTTTGCCTGGAAAGTCAGGGAAACGTTTTGGGAAAAAATGTGGTTATCCTGTACAAATTTGTAATTAAAATTTGTGTGAGTGTGGTTTAAATGTTAACGATTTAAAGCACTTAAGAGATGTAATATAGAAATAGACGGCTACAGTTAACTACTTGTTAATATATTTATTTTACCAAAGGTTAACTCGCAACACGGGCTCGGTCGATTTGACCGACCACTTTACCTCTTTTTACTCGTTCAAAGTCTTTATAGATTTGATACTTTTAATATAGTATGTATATCTTAACACCCTGGCAGTTTTAACTACTTTCCATTTCCCAGATATATAGATAATAGCCAGGAGTTCAAGTCAAACTAACGTTGTTAAGACGATAGGAATTTAAAGTTTACACGTTAAAATTAAAACAACATTATCCAATAATAAATAAACTAGAAATCAATACAAGTTACAGAGAAAGCAAACTTTCAAACTGTAGATTAATTATTATTTTAATGAGAAATGATTAAATAGTAAAAGCTCCAAATTTCGAGAGAAACCAAAGTGAAAGAACAGAGCGTATTGTTTCTGAAAAATAAAACTATTTGTTAACGAAATTTAGCCTCGGTAAATCGCCAAAGGTGTCTAGGCAACAGTCGTATCAACAACTGACATCTGGTATTAAAGTTATCAAATACATACAATTATGATGAACATAGAATATAAATCGATTGCTTCGATATAATAAACATAAATAAAATACAACTTTAGGTATTATGTAGAGAAAAATTAAAGGAATATTTCATTCTTCAAATAACATATTGTAAAATTATACATAGATACTGTGTTTGTGTAAGTTTCTAAATATTGTTATTGATTTAAAATTACAAAGAACGTTGAGTAGTTTGGTTAGCAGAAAGAGTGATTGTTAAATCGTGGGCTGAACAAGAGTGTAGGTTTTATAAAACCTGATGTTACGAAACTGTTATTGTTTTACATTTTTTAAAAGGAACCACGTACAAAAGTGTTACAATTCATATTATTGGCGGAAATGATTATATTGAAATGTTTATTCGTTTGTATCTAAACAAACTTTTCAAAATGTGTGCGAGGTTAAGGAATGTTATTATAAAGTTATTATTTCAAATAAAACCTTATATAGAAAAAATTCGACTTACATATCGATCAAAATGGTGTAGTAAAAATGGTATTCTTGCATTTATATCATTTAAGAGCCCCCTGTACGTTTGCGGACTTACAACGCTAGAAACCGGGTTTCGATACCAGTGGTGGGCAGAGCACAGATAGCCCATTGCGTAGCTTTGTGCTTAACTTCAAAACAAACGAATAAATCATTTAAGATTTCTTTCAGTGATTGTATTTGAACAAATAAAATTTCTGATTTTCAAATTGATAAACAATCTAAAAAAGTCGTAATTACCCGTGCAGAAAAAGAACAAATGTTACTTTATTTAAAAAAAAAAAGAAGTATGTATGTATGATGCAAAACTTACTTCAAGCTAAATTTGCGTCTGTTTGTTCGTATCTTTTAGCCTTTATAATAGTAGGCCTGTAAAGATCTGATCAAAAATACCTTAGGTGTGAAAAAAAAAAACGTTGCGGCCAAAAAATTGTAATCAGTGTGCAACTTAAAGGAATGAAATCAAAATTAGCGGCCAAACTGGTAATCAGTGTGCAACTTAAAGGAATGAAACCAAAATTAGCAGGCCAAACTGGTAATCAGTGTGCAACTTAAAGGAATAAAATCCAAATTAGTGGCCAAACTGGTAGTTACACTTATAGCATTGATAAGGAAATACAGAAAATATTCATTTATTAGTTAGCCAAGCCGCGGTTTTTGTTCAACTTGGGACATGATGGTGGGTAAAATGAAATACAATCGGTGCATCATTATTTATGCTAATTGCTTAAGCTAATATCACGTTACGCTAAACACTTAGGAGAATGTCATAAAATTTAGTAAATTTGTGCTGAAAAGTTGACAATGAATAATCAATAATAACCGTTCACTCATATTATTATTTTGAACACTTGAGCTAGAAACTGCTAATCTAGTTTGCTTGGCCTAACCAAAACTTATGTATATGCACGTCCTTTCACCTTATAGTTTTGCTGCTCTAAGTCAGTCGTCTTTAATGCGAATGAGGTGAAGACGTAGTAACAATTTCAGACCCATAGATCACGTGACTTTTTTGCGTAGGAGTGCGCAAAAATGTTCGGCAAATTTGAGTTGTTGTTTTTTTTAAATAACTTTGCACATGTGGCGTATATTTACACCAAATGAGACATCTAATTGTAGGCTGTGAAGGTCTATCAGTGTACCAAATTTTAAAAAAATCCATGAAAGCTAAGTTTTTTTTTTTTTTT